GGGTGGTGAGAGGATTCACCAGAGATACAGTGGGGAGCAGAACAGGCAGATTGACTGAAATACACATCTGAGGGGAACAGTGGGGAGACAGGAGAGGTCTGCTGTGCCATGTGGGTCAGCTCCCTGGCCAGGGATCAAACTCCTGTTGCAGTGGCTTCTGACAGCTTCAGAGTGCTGTGCTTTAACTCCTTGCGCCACCAGGAAGGCCCCAGCAACAAGGAGGCCCCAGCAACAGAGTATTTCTAAATTAAAGTATAAATGTAGTTTGTTTTTTTTTTTTAAGACACAAAGCTATTGCACACTAAACAGACCACAGTATAGTAGAAACATAACTTTTTTAGCCATTGGGAAACTAAAACTTTGTGTGACTTGCCTTACTGCAATAGTTGCTTCATGGTAGTGACCTGGAAACTGGGAAACATCGCCCAAGTGTGCGTAGATCTCTGCACTGACAGGAACGCAAAACCATCCCTTTCTGATTCACTGAACCCAAGGGTAAGAGGACAGGTGACAAAATATGCTATGGCACAATGCAGGAAGTGTAAGGTCCGTGAGCGACAGGTGAGCAGCAAATCTGGAGTCAATGGGAAGGGACTTAGGCCTGGGGGGAGAATTGGATTGTGGGATGCAGAGGTGGGGTCACTCTGGACAAGGAAGGAGGACAAAAGAGCAAAGTTCCAAAGAAGGGAATCTCCCAGGGGGGATATTACACAAGAGCAATAAGGCACTGGAGGGTTAAAGAAGTCTGAGTGATAAGGCTGGTAAAGATATGTTGGGCCAGATTATAGGAACCTTGAAAGTTGAGCTCAGTTTAGACTTTACCCAGAAAGGCCCAGCAAGCACTCCATTCAGGAAGGGGGAAAGATCAAGGTGTTTTAGGAATAAACAATGGAGATTTATCTCATGGGCAAATCCACCCTACAGATGGGTCTTTGTCAAACCCAGATGAATCAGTATCTAATTATGTCCAGTGACATAAGTGTCCCAATTATATATTGGGGCAATCTTGCTACCACCCAGACCCTGCGAATGCAGTTCAAATACTTTTCTGGACTGATGATAAGCAATGCTATAACCTGACTGCAGAGCAGGAAATGAAAATTTAATAAACTATATTGAACTTGCTCCTATGACCATAGCAATAAAAACCACATTTGCACTAGTTATGCCAAAGTCATGGAAGTTTTGTAAACAGGTTTTTATCTTGTCAAACAAGAATTAGAATTGATAACTCTTTGGGGAAGTAATCCAATGAAAAGGGACTGCTGAATAAGCTTTCATTTAGTAGTTAGTACTCGATAGTACTAAAAAGCAAAGATGTGATTCCCTCTACTTCAGAGCACTTCACTTCCACGCCACTGGTTGCTTACCAGCCTGCACCTGACTAAGCATCCCTGTGTGAAGCCCCTGGCCTAATCATAAAGTGGCTGCCTCGGGAGGGGGGAACAGCACCTACCCAGTTCCCGTGGCCACAGCAAAGTGCAAACAGTCTTTAAAAATTTCAATTGATTCCAAAAACGTTCCATCTAGATACACACGCGCGCACACACACACACACCAAAGAACTTTAATTCACTTACATCCTTGACCCTCCATTCCAGGCATGTTAACATGCACATGCCAAGGAGCACCATGCAAGAATTCTGTAATACAAGGAGATTTTGTTGTGCTTGTTTTAATCCCACTCCTGGTTACAATCGAAGAGGACCCAGAGATGTCAAGATTGTCCCTGAAACCTTGCTGTCAGAAAGCAGAGAATAAATTCAGGGGCTGCTTCCTAGTAACCAGTGAGGTGAAGAAAACTGGACGGGATTGAAGCAGATTAAATTGGAACAGGCCACATGAACGAACCTGAGAGGAAGTATAAAAATCGTCAACACACTCAACTGTGTTTACCTTAGGGAAGTGCTCAGAAGTTTTATTGCCCGCAGCAGTCGCCCCGCTAAAAGGTTACCTACATATTCATAAATCGCCCCCAGATTCAGAAACTCCAGGAGTCTCACTCCATGGTAAAAAGGGAACGACCAAGCCTATCACAGGAGTCAACATCCCTCAGTGAGTCTCCATCCAAACCAAGCCCACCGCAATCCCCCAGCAGGGCAGGCGGGCGCTGCAGCCGCGAGCGCACCGACGCCAAGCGCCCAGCACCCGGCAGCCCCAGAGTTTTCGGAGTGCAATGTCCTCCTCTCATCCCACCACAACACTCAGATTCCGAAGAGGTCTTCACACCTATCCACACAAACTCCTTCAGGGGGACGAGTGTCCCCCCCCCCCGTCAGCTCCGGGGTGGCCACCCCGTTCCCCGCCACACACTTCCCGTCTTTTCCATCAACGCCACACAACTCACGTTTCCCACCCAACCTCCAGCAGTGACCAGGACCCCAGCCTCAGGCAGGAAAGTGGGGGAGGGCGGCTGCCTCAACGCCTCACTTCGTGGCTTTAGGAAAGAACCTGAGAGAAAACAGCGCGGGACAGCGAGCGACACTCGCACTCTGGCGACTGCGACTGGTTGCAGGCTACAGAATAAGCCGCGCGAATGCGGTGGGAGGCGCGCCCGAGCCCGGCGCCCCGAGAAGTAGCCGGCGAGCGCCCTTCTTTGACGTCCCTGCTACTACAAGCCTCGGGTTCAGCAGCAGGACTCTCAGTCCCGGAGCCCCACTTCATTTAGCCAACGCGACTCCCCAAATCCCGGGGTGACTTCCCCATCGGGGGTCCTGGAAGGGCTCCGACCCGTGCAGCCCCGGAACTGCGGCTATGGGGGCCGAGCCCCGGCTGCCCCCCAAGGGTAGCCAGCGGTCGAGGCCAGCGCCCAGCCGCGCGCGCACACTGTGGCCTGCGCCCGCGCCCCACTTTGCTCCCTCAGGAGCCCGCCGCAAAGTTCGCGCGACCGAGCCGGGCAGGGTGGGGCGCGCACTCACCAACCCCGTACTTCTGCCTCTTCGTCGGGATCCAGCGGGCCATGGCGGCAACCTCGCCCCGCGGCGGTGGCGGCTGCAGCGGCTACAGCTCCCGGGGCTCCAGCGG